GATGGTGAAGGGAACTGATGATGGTGAAGGGTAGGGAAGGTGGTGAAGGGTAGGGAAGAAGATAGTGAAGGGTAGAGAAGATGGTGAGGGGTAGGGAAGATGGTGAAGGGTAGGGAAGATGGTGAAGAGTAAGGAAGATGGTGAAGAGTAAGGAAGATAGTGAAGAGTAAGGAAGATGGTGAAGAGTAAGGAAGATGGTGAAGAGTAAGGAAGATGGTGATGGGTAGGGAAGGTGGTGATGGGTAGGGAAGGTGGTGAGGGGTAGGGAAGATGGTGAATGAGATGGAAAATGATGAAGAAAATGAAAAATGATGAAGGAAATGGAAAGTGATGAAGGAGAAGGAAGGTAATAGTGATTATGGCCGTAGATTGGGTACCTAGAAGTACCTGGGTAGTAAAATGGTACTGTAAGTCAATATCAAGCATTTATTGCCTTTCACTATATTTGTTACTGATGCAACAAGTTCTATTTCATAAATTCAAATCTGCATATTATTATTATTATTATTATTATTATTATTAGTATTGTTTGAAGGCCATAATGCATTAATGAGCTTATGGGTGAAAAGTTTCTGTAACTATGGCATATATATACTGTAAATGCCTTAGCAAACATTTATGGCAATAAATACATACATACATACATATATGTATGAATGTAGGAATGTATGTCTATATATATATATATATATATATATATATATATATATATATATATATATATATATATATATATATATATATATATATATATATATATATATATATATATATATATATATATATATATATATATATATATATATATATATATATATATATATATATATATATATATATATATATATATATATATATATATATATATATATATATATATATATATATATATATATATATATATATATATATATATATATATATATATATATATTATATATATATATATATATATATGTGTGTGTGTGTGTGTGTGTGTGTGTGAGAAAGCTGCATAAACGCGCAATCCATATATCACTAAGAACTCTTTGACCCAGCCAGGATTCGAACCCATGCCATCCAGGATCACCCCTAAACATACACAGTACCGTGACCAGAGACGATCATTGGTGCGGTGGTCATGGTACTGTGTACGTTTAGGGGTGATCCTGGACGGCATGGGTTCGAATCCTGGCCGGGTCTAAGAGTTCTTATATATATATATATATATATATATATATATATATATATATATATATATATATATATATATATATATATATACATACATACATACATACATATATACACACAGTACATATATATCCTAGTAGCCAGAACGCAGGGCTAATATGCAGGCCCAATTTTCCTAATAAGCCAAGTTTTCCTGAATTTATATATTTTTCTAATTTTTTCTTATGAAATGATAAAGCTATCCATTTCACTATGAGTGACTTATTTTTTTTTTAATTTGAGTTAAAACTAATGTGAATATATGACCGAACATAATCAACCATACCTAACCTAACCAAATCTATCTTAACCTAACTTAAATAAACATAACTAACTAAATAATTTATGTTCTTAAAATAATATAATAATAATATTTCAAATAAACCAATTGGAAACAATTTTTTGCAAATAAAGAAAATCACTCAGCCTATTAGGCAAATCGGGCCTTGCATAGTAGATGGTACAACTACTAGGTACAATGGTACTAGTACTAGGTACTAGTACTAGGTACAACACACACACACACACACACACACACACACACACACACACACACACACACACACACACACACACACACATATATATATATATATATATATATATATATATATATATATATATATATATATATATATATATATATATATGTATATATATATATGCAACAATGATCACAAAAACACTGATCCAAGTATGCAGAATAACCACATGTGAAAAAATAGAAAATGCTTAACGCGTTTTCGGCTAATTCGCCTTCATCAGAGCAAAGTAGAATCAAATTTGATTCTACTTTGATTCTACAAAGTAGAATCAATTGATTCTACTTTGCTCTGATGAAGGCGAATTAGCCGAAAACGCGTTAAGCATTTTCTATTTTTCACATGTGGTTATTCTGCATATATATATGTGTGTGTGTGTGTGTGTGTGTGTGTGTGTGTGTGTGTGTGTGTGTGTAATTACCTAAGTGTAATTACCTAAGTGTAGTTACAGGATGAGAGCTACGCTCGTGGTGTCCCGTCTTCCCAGCACTCTTTGTCATATAACGCTTTGAAACTACTGACGGTCTTGGCCTCCACCACCTTCTCACTTAACTTGTTCCAACCGTCTACCACTCTATTTGCGAAGGTGAATTTTCTTATATTTCTTCGGCATCTGTGTTTAGCTAGTTTAAATCTATGGCCTCTTGTTCTTGAAGTTCCAGGTCTCAGGAAGTCTTCCCTGTCGATTTTATCAATTCCTGTTACTATTTTGTACGTAGTGATCATATCACCTCTTTTTCTTCTGTCTTCTAGTTTTGGCATATTTAATGCTTCTAACCTCTCCTCGTAGCTCTTGCCCTTCAGTTCTGGGAGCCACTTAGTAGCATGTCTTTGCACCTTTTCCAGTTTGTTGATGTGCTTCTTAAGATATGGGCACCACACAACAGCTGCATATTCTAGCTTTGGCCTAACAAAAGTCATGAACAATTTCTTTAGTATATCGCCATCCATGTATTTAAATGCAATTCTGAAGTTAGAAAGCATTGCATAGGCTCCTTGCACAATATTCTTAATGTGGTCCTCAGGTGATAGTTTTCTATCTAGAACCACTCCTAGATCTCTTTCTTTATCAGAATTCTTTAAAGATTTCTCACATAATATATAGGTTGTGTGGGGTCTATGTTCTCCTATTCCACATTCCATAACATGACATTTATTAACATTAAATTCCATTTGCCAAGTGGTGCTCCATATACTTATTTTGTCCAGGTCTTCTTGAAGGGCATGACAATCATCTAAATTTCTTATCCTTCCTATTATCTTAGCATCATCAGCAAACATGTTCATATAATTCTGTATACCAACTGGTAGATCATTTATGTACACAATAAACATCACTGGTGCAAGAACTGAACCCTGTGGTACTCCACTTGTGACATTTCTCCATTCCGATACATTGCCTCTGATTACTGCCCTCATTTTTCTATCAGTCAGAAAATTTTTCATCCATGATAGAAGCTTACCTGTCACCCCTCCAATATTTTCCAGTTTCCAGAACAACCTCTTATGTGGAACTCTGTCGAAAGCCTTTTTTAGGTCCAGATAGATGCAGTCAACCCAGCCATCTCTTTCCTGTAATATCTCTGTGGCCCGATCATAGAAACTGAGTAAATTCGATACACAGGATCTTCCTGATCGAAAACCATACTGTCTGTCTGATATTATATCATTTCTCTCCAGGTGTTCTACCCATTTAGTTTTGATTAGCTTTTCCAATACTTTCACTATTACACTTGTCAATGATACAGGTCTATAATTGAGGGGGTCTTCCCTGCTGCCACTTTTGTAGATTGGAACTATGTTAGCCTGTTTCCACACGTCTGCTACGATTCCTGTACACAGGGATGCCTGAAAGATCAGGTGAAGTGGAATGCTGAGCTCAGATGCACATTCTCTCAGAACCCATGGTGAAACGCCATCTGGGCCAGCTGCTTTGTTCCTCCCGAGCTCCTTTAGCATATTTTCCACTTCATCTCTAGACACCTCTATCCGCTCTATGTTGTTCTCTGGAATTCTTATTGTGTCTGGTTCTCTGAAGATTTCATTTTGTACAAACACACTTTGGAACTTTTCATTTAATGTTTCACACATTTCCCTTTCATTTTCCGTGAATCTGTTTCCCATTTTCAACCTCTGGATATTATCCTTTACCTGCAATTTGTTGTTTATGAATTTGTAGAATAGGCCCGGTTCTGTTTTACATTTATCTGCTATCCCTTTTTCAAAATTTCTTTCTGCCTCTCTCCTTACTGCTGTATAATTGTTTCTCGCATCTTTGTATCGCTGGTATGTTTGGGGGTTTGGCCTCTTCCTATACTGATTCCATTTTTGTGTCTTTTGGTCTCTTGCCCTCTCACAATTTCTGTCGAACCAATCCTGTTTTCTGGTCCTGCATCTCTGTTTTGGTATGAATGTTTGTGTGCCTTCCTCGTATAGTTTTAAAAATTTGGAATACATTTCATTTACTTCCCTGCCTAGCAACAATTCTGTCCAATTACACTCATTAAAAAAATTTCGAAGTTCCCCATAGTTGCCTCTCTTTAAATCGAGTTTATCAACTGTTTCAATGTCCCCATTTTCTTCTAGATGATATCTTAAAGCATATTTAATGTCTAACAGGACGTGATCACTCTTTCCCAAGGGAGGAAGGTACTGGATGTCAAAAATCTCTTCTTCTTTCCTGGTGAATACTAGATCCAGTACTGACGGTATATCTCCTTCCCTCATTCTTGTGGCTTGCTTTATGTGTTGATACAAGAATGTCTCCAGAATGAGGTTCACAAATCTGCATGTCCAAAAGTCCTCCGTTCTTGCTTCATAGGCCTCCCAGTCTATTGCTCTAAAGTTGAAGTCCCCCAGTGTGTGTGTGTGTGTGTGTGTGTGTGTGTGTGTGTGTGTGTGTGTGTTTGTTTGTAGCGCAGTGAGAAATGTAAAGCATCTCTTCTCTTACAACACAAAAGGCATAACTTCAAACATAACTTCCAACTTTACAAGCTGTTCAATAAAAATCACAAATTTTTAATAAAATGAATCATAATTACTGTATAACGAAGCTGCACTTTAGATTACTTTCACTCTTTAGATAACTGAGGTAAGGGTTACAGAAACACTTACATGCATCTTCCAAATTCTTACCAAAAGAACTTATCTTTTCAGTGAAACATTTGAGCTATACAGTGTTATAAAGGCAGAATATTGGGTATCTAAACTGCTAGTGCCACACCTACCCCATACAGCAACACCTACCAGCTGTAATGGTGATAAAATAATAACAACAATGTTAGTACATGTATAATTTAATAAAAAAAACTTAAGATATATATATATATATATCACAAATAAGAAATAAATAAGAAACATATAAGCTACCTTCATTGCATGTGTGAATTAAGTGCAATTAACTTTTCATTAAATAGAGAGTAGTGAAATTAGTAAGAATAGGAAATAATAACTTATCCAAATACCGTATTAGGGCAGCGTTACTTAATTTTAATGTGCGTATTTTTACAAATACCGAACAGGTTATCTCGGAACTGACAGTTGTCGAACAAAGTGATTCAAATGTAAAAGGGATTATATCCTAACACCCATGTAAAATGTTAGAATTTAGTCTAAAAATAATATAATACTATAAAATGATAAAAATATCATTGGGCACTCTCCAAGAATCCACATTTTAAACCATAAACGATCTTGGAATAATGCCTAGGTATTACTGTTTGGGATAATTGGTTGTTGTGGTGGACTTTGATAAATTTGAGGCTTCTACTGAGGAGTTATGATGAGATGTTGAAGTTCCATCAGTTGACAGAAAATTAATAATCAGCATGTTATTTATAAATAGTTGGCAGTCAGGCTGCAGGTTGTTGGTTAAGGGAAACCATAAATTGCAGTCAACAGATGAACATAAGGGAAGAGATTGTAAAGGAATTTGTCAGCTCTGAAACTGAAATAAAACAAAGTAGATCAAAGCAAATCAATAATAACTAGTGCTTCTAAAGGGGTAAAAAAGACAGCATTGAATGTAATGAAATGCCAATTTCTGGGTGAGCCCCAGTGGCTCCTTGAAGGTACCATTTCTGACATAGGTGTCAACTACCAGGTGTCATCAGTCGCAGAGTTCTCTGGCATACCAGGGACCCAGATCTTAGTGCACTAAAGTGCAGCACGCATGAAACATGAATGAAACCAATGCTGCCCCAACAGCCAATACGCTCCTACTGGAGAAAAGATGGAAGCCTAAGACACCAGACTAAACCCAAGGTTAAGACCACATAAGCGAGGTAGGAGCATATCCCGAACACTCCAGGGAAGAAAACCCTGGCAGCACATGGGCAGCACTAAGGAGTGCTCAGGGAAGAGAACCCTGAACACATACAGCTCCAATTGGTCAAAACTCTTGGCCCACACACACACACAAAAGTGGAAGGAACAGCTACCAATGTAAAAAGAACACATAGAAAAAATACACTCGGGCCAGAGCGATAGTGGCAGACCCGACACTGGTACACATGGTGCCAGTGCCATGTGTCTTTTCAATTTTCAAAACATTTTCAAGGTGCCAAAAAAATATTAGAAAGTTTTCTTTTACAAACAGAGTGGTAGATGATTGGAACAAGCTAAGTGAGAGGGTGGTGGAGGCCCAAACTATCAGTAGTTTCAAAGCATTATACGACAAAGAGTACTGGGAAGACAGGACACCCTGAGCATAACTCTTATCCTGTAACTACACTTAGGTAATTACATTAGAGAACCGATGGTGGAGTGACCTGTGGTGAGCAGTGGCCTGTCACCTCTTCCCCTCCCCCCTCCCAATGGGGTAAGGGAGGGGGCAAATGAGTGGGTACTTGTATATAACACTTTTGATTGTTTGTTTACATAGTTCGGCGGAGTTCTATGACTGTTTTCGAGTTTGCAGGTCTCGAAGGCAGATAGCTGTGGTTTGTTTTGTCTCTCTCACTTTCTGTGTGCTTTCCACAGTGATGGTATAAATAAATACATGCCATGGCTTCATGCACCTCTGCGAGGGGGCCAGGTTCTGGCTCTGGGCCCCCAGTAGGCCAATGAATTATGCAATTGATCGCACCTGGCATCAGCTGCCATCTATTCAACTTTAATAGATGTCAATAATATGTTATGACATAAATTGATAGACGCTACTATAGAAAATGGTAGCTTCAGGGACTCAAATAGGGTTCCTCCAGAAAATGTGGTTGAAGGCCCCACAACAGGGAATGTCCTTGGTCACAATAGAATTGGCAGACATGAGATGAAAAAAAAATATTAAATTTAATTTGAATAGATTATACTTTACCATCTCCAGGATTTCATCCTTGTACTTTGGTTTTCTATCAGTTTCTTCATCATCCTCATCCTCTTCACTATCATCCTCGTCATCTTCGTCTGAATACTCTTCATCTGAATATTCCTCCTCGTCAGAATCATCCTCGCCTTCTCCTTCAGGAGGAGGAGTAAACCGCTTCAGAGGTCGAGGACCTGATGACAATGAAAAATTGCTCATAAAATGACAATATACAGCAAGATACTCATCTGGTCAAATTTCTTCCTTGATTAAAGTGAATCTTTGGCATATCACTGAATAGTGTCTAAGAATTTAATAGTGTATGATGCCTATCTTTAACCCCAGCACTGTGCACCTGTTTAATATGACAACTCCGTGGTGAGCATGTAGAAAATTAAATTTTACCTTTATAATACTGTTAAAATGCCTTCCCTGATCATGGGAAAACTTACAAAAAACCGGAGTTGAATGTAATGAAATGCCATTTTCTGTGTGAGTCCCGAAGGCTCTACAGAACTTACCGGGCTGATATGTATGTATTAGACCCTGGTATCAGTTAATTTAATGAAGTTCTAGCCTACCGGGGACCACGAGCCAGAACCCGGCCCTGTTAGAGAGGCATGAGAAGCAATGGCCTATAGAAACCCCCATGTGGTTGGAAGCATTCTCTGTCTGCCATCTACCGGATTAGGCATCCAGAAAGATAGGCGTCCCCAAAACAAACTACAGCTGGTTAAAAATTGCAACCGAGAGTCAAACTAGCAAGCAGAACTCCCCAAACCGAAAACAAGCAAACAAACATGACGTCACCATTGCCTCCACGCCGCTGTCTGTGCAGCTCCCCCTTTGCCCCGGTGGCTATCCAGCCCCAGTTCAGAGGCTGAATGTCAAAACGCCGGGAAATGAATGAATGTCTGCTGAATGTCAAATCCACCCTCCCCGGAGGGTGGGAGGATTGCTGGGGAGAATTGCTGTATTATTGCTGTAATAAATGATGTATTTATTGCTGTAATAAAACACCAGAAAATGGTGTTCTATTACATTTAACACTATCACGCTCCCGGCAGAAGGCTCTTTAACCCTTAAATGGCACATAGCTATATACCATTTGACACCCACAGGCGCATACCAAAAAAAAAAAAAAATATATATATATATTTTCTTCCTAACCTGTTAATTTGTGTTCACTGATCACGGGAAAAATAATAAAAAAATCGTAAGTGACATATATTGCCTGCTATAGGGTGGGGAATTCTGGCAAAAAATAGGGGCTGACTCAGCATGCGTCCCAGGCGGTCTGTTGATCGCCAGCTGTCAGGCCGAAGTTGCCACAAAGAGATAATTACCTAACTATTTCAATGTCTCTGATTGATTTTTCGTAGTTTTTTGCTGTAATATTATTCAATAGTGTGTAGTGTGATATATTTTTTATAATAAACTGAGTAAATCATCGCTGTACTCAAAAATATGGTATGCATATTGTTGATTCAATTATGTTCATCAGTGAACAAATACTTTGCCGGTTATTACACTATATACACAGGTTATATATAAGTATATGCATGTTTCGTTCACCATAATTGTACATCAAAGCTTGTATGGTGAGTAAAGGCACAAAGACGTAGGACCTCACACAGTCAGCTGATGGCTGCCGCCCTCAAGGCCAGACGCACTAATATTTCTCCTACAACAATACTGTTTGTGGTGCTGTTATGCAATATGCACACATTATATATAAGTAGCTACCTGTTTTATTCACCATACTTGTACAAGTAAACTGGTATGGTGCCCAAAGACCATCGTGGTCATCAGAAAACATGGTAAGTCCTGCAGACGACGCTCCACCCTCACCAAAATGGCGGCTCCAAACCTTCTCCTCTTGCTGTTTATATCCTCTATACACATGTTATATATAAGTATCTACATTTGTGTTCACCATAGCAAACCACTAAGCTGGTATGGTGAGTGCAGTCAATAAAAGGTGGCCACAGACAGTCAGAAGACATCGCCACCACCCTCCCTCCCACAGCATTACTCCTCCCTCCATGGCGCACAGCGCTAAATATCACCACAATCCTGCTATTATCAGAACCCTGGTCAGTTTTATCACAGTCAGGGGTCTTCTGTAATAATATCATCGCTACATAATAGCATGAACAAGAATATTATGGCATTTTTAGGCGATGCTGTGGTCACAAGCTGAACAGCAGTGCTGTGAGTTCATGCTGCGTGCGTCAGGCTTGGTTGCTCACTCAATACTGACGTCCCTAACACCTGGGAGTTTGGCCCATGATTTTTTTTAAAAATGGCGTCTGTTTACAAGAGCCCTGATGAAGGTGTGGTGAACCCCGTGTATCCGCGGGCCATTTAAATCTTGCGTAGTACTCCAAAGCATCACATGATGCGATGCGCAATTTACTGCAAATCGGTCAAAGCATCATATGATGCGATGCGCAATTGAAGGGTTAACTTTCCCCTCGTGCGCCAGGCATTTTGGGTGACCGCGCGGCGACACTGAAAAGTGTACACTCTTTTCGGTCTGCTCACCTTAATTTTCCATGTATGTATTTAAATTTGGTATCAATTTGTTCGCAAGAAAATGTTCTAAAGGAATGAATATATATATATATATATATATATATATATATATATATATATATATATATATATATATATATATATATATATATATATATATATATATATATATATATATATATATATATATATATATATATATATATATATATATATATATATATATATATATATATATATATATATATATATATATATATATATATATATATATATATATATATATATATATATATATATATATATATATATATATATATATATATATATATATATATATATATATATATATATATATATATATATATATATATATATATATATATATATATATATATATATATATATATATATATATATATATATATATATATATATATATATATATATATATATATATATATATATATATATATATATATATATATATATATATATATATATATATATATATATATATATATATATATATATATATATATATATATATATATATATATATATATATATATATATATATATATATATATATATATATATATATATATATATATATATATATATATATATATATATATATATATATATATATATATATATATATATATATATATATATATATATATATATATATATATATATATATATATATATATATATATATATATATATATATATATATATATATATATATATATATATATATATATATATATATATATATATATATATATATATATATATATATATATATATATATATATATATATATATATATATATATATATATATATCATATAAAATTTCACCACAACCGATGTGAGATCCGCACCAAATAAAAAACTATGGAGATCGTTAACCAGGAGCGCCAAACAGCGATGAAATGTTTATGCTCTTTTCAGGTTTGTCAACCCCAGAATTGTTCTACGTCATTAATTTTGGTATCACTGTGATCGCAATAAAATTCTGTACACAGACATATGAAAATAAAGTACAAAACATGGGCATGCCCCACCCGCAAGCCCGTGGGAAGTTGCCCAAGGGTTACCCGCTACCGCATGCCCAACTGCACATCGGCTACACCCCTACTGAAAAGTTTATACTCTTTTCATGTTTTTGACCGTAATTTTCGATGTACCTGTTCGTGTTTCAATTTGGTGTCAATGTGTTCTCAATGAAATGTTCTAGAGGAACATATGTATAATATGTCACCAAAGTTAACGTGATGCCGGCACCCAATAAAAAACTAAGTCGTTTGTTAGCCGTGCACGCCAAACAGTGCGAACATGTTGCTACTCTTTTCAGGTTTATCAAGTCCAAACTTGTTCGACATCGTTCTTTTTTGTATCACTGTGATCGCAATAAAATTCCCTACGCAGACATATGCATATAAATTAGACAACATGGGGGCGCATAACCTGCAACGACCCCTAAAGTTGCCGAAGTGTTACCCACTAGAGCATACTCATTGCCACACCCGCTACACCCAATACACCCGACAAACACATACAGTTTGCTAACAAAAGTTTTTGCGCTACATTGTTCATTATGGAATCAAATTATTCGCAATAAAATGCTGTAAATAGAAAGACAAATATAAGCAATAACAACTGCAATATATATAAGCAATACCAATAACAAAGTATAAATCGGTAAATTGGAAATATATTTATAAAAACTTATACAAAGTGTTTGTACTTACCAACGGAATGATGATGGTAGAACAATAAGTTGAGCACTTTGTGATTGTGACTGTTGAAATCAGTGTCCTGTTCTTTCCCCTTAACAACTGTATCAATATCGGATAATTCTTGAATCAAACCAGGGATTTTTGTTGGTGTAAGACGAACGTTACAAAATTTCTTGTAGAGCATACATATTCTATCCTCTTTGGTTGATTTCTTCGCTGTTTTCAGCGTGGAACTGCTCTACCCTAGACCCTGATCCATCGTGTAATGTATATTATGTGTGTGAAAGACACGCGAACCAATACAAATGTCGATAATAACCGAGATTTGCACAAGTTCGGGATGCGAGCCAGCGGCGCTCTGGTTACGAGCGTGATAAACAAAGCACTAGGCCCACTGCATGGCTTGACGACCTAGAATGCCACGTGGCATATGGAGGAGAGTGGGAAGACAATGGCGCTCAATTTAAAACCACCTAGAAGTTGATTGGATGAAAATTTAATTTTTTACAAATATTTTAATGGATGACGTGCACGATAGTCATCGGATTACATTAAGGAGAAAAACTTATGATGATAATAGGCATCATAGGAGAGCGAAAGTGTTAACGCTGGTTTTCTTTGGAGAGGCCCTCTAGCTCCCCGGAGCTACATAACCAAAGACAGGAAAAAAAAAGGGACTTACCCGGGAGGCGGTCGACACTCGCTCCTCAACCCGAAGTCGAGACAACTGGCTGCAACTTGCGACCCAAGGTTACACTTGCTAGAGTAGGGCCTGGAACATTTACAAGGTACCATGCTGCCAGGACCCCTGTTCAACTGCCAAAAACCCCGCGCCTGAATGTCAGCCCAGGACATGTTACCAAAAACAGCAGCCAAAGCCGCGAAGTTGCAAACGTCATGGGCACAGAGATAGACTGAATGACTGGCTGGACTGAATAACCCTGTGGATGACCTAGGAGACCAGCTCCCTGGAACAGGAAAGGAGGGAAACTGGGTCCACCAAAGCGCGTGCCCAGCCACCAAGGTCGTGGTGCACAAGTAACGGTGAAGAGCCACAACTGGACACAATACATGATGCCCCTTCCCCCTCCTGGGGAGGGGGAGCTGTGCAGATAGCAGCGGCGATGGTCATGTCATGCTTGTTTGCCTGTTTTCAATTTGGGGAGCTCTGCTTGCTAATTCAGCTTACAGTTGCCATTTGTAACCAGCTGTAGTTCGTTTTGGGATGCCTACTTTTCTGGGTGCCTAACCTGGTAGATGGCAGACATAGAATGCTTCCAACCACATTGGGATTTCTATAGGCCACTGCTCCTCATGCCTCTCTGAGGGGGCCAAGGTCTGGCTCGTGGTCCCCAGTAGGCTAGAACTCCATCGAATTGACTGATGCCAGGGTCTAATACATACATATCAGCCCGGTTAGCTCCTGGGAGCCAGAGGGGCTCACCACAGAAAAGTATATGTATCTTACTTTGGCTATGGAAACAAAAAAATATTGTGGTGACATCACTGACTCACACTCATTGAAAGATGAGATAATCTTTGGAGGTCAACTGGGCCAAGACGGGGCAGCAGGAGTTGCCGAGAATATATTTATACTGATTTATTTCTCTGATTTTTTGCATGGGAAATGAGGAATTATTGCTGATGTCTGAGACAAGAATGTGTGATGTTAAAATTATGGGTTAATGGGTTTTGTGAGATACTTAAGCATTCCTGGCCAATTCCTGGCCAGGAATTCCTTCCATTCCTGGCCAATTCCTGGTTGAAGAGTGAAGTGCTACTATATACTGATGGCACCTTTTAAATGTGTAACATATTAGAAGAATTGCAGGTTATTAAGAATTAAATAATCAAATAGGATATGCAGTATAAAGAAAAGAAAATGTAAATGAAAATATACAGGTAAGAAAAGAAGATACAGAGATTACAACATCTGAAATATCTAGTAATTTCAGTTAAACTGGATGAATGTATTTTTAGATGCATAAAATAGATGGCAGGCAATTAAACGATGCTGATTTGACTAAATTTTAATAAATAATCCATAACATTAACATTATATAAATAATATATACCTCTGTCTTCTTCTTCAGATTGCATCTCCATTTTCTTGAACATGGCAAGCACACTTCGCGTTTTGCGACAATCCACTTCATCTTGATAATTGTCTGTACAACGGATAAGGTTAGGGTCACGCCCCAACTCCTGCTCTTCAACATCAACCCCCTGAAAACAAAATACATTATCAAATGAAATTCAGATGTATTGTTAAGTTTCAGAAAATATCTATACATATAACTGAATTTTGAATGGAGAAGGATGATAAAAATGTGATTAGGAAGGATCATGTCGGGTCTGGAATCTATAATCATTAAAAAATTACAAATAGTAGTGTTCGCTTGTATTATTGGACAACCGGTATTGTCACTCACTGTAGTGTTAGCCCAAGTCTTTCTTTACTACAATATAAAATGTATTCTGAAAAGTTAGAGAAATTTTTTTAAATTAGTATCTGATATGTTAAAATGAAAAAGAAATTAATATATTAATGGAGTGCATTAGTGCATCAAGATTATAGCTGTTAGAATAAAGTGAAATGATATGCTGAACTCATAATTGTTTTTAGCAACAAAACAACAAAATATTCTGTTCCGTACTTCCAAAATTGTATTTGATAAAACTTAGAATTCATTAAGATACTGATATCATCCTTGTGCATAGAAACATTTAAGAATTCCAACCCATTTTGAAATAAAATAATACTACAGTAAAAGTTTAAACAGTTTATTAAGTTATGAATCTTAAATAGCTTTAAAAGTAATGCTAAATGTTCATATTTCTATGAGAGAGATCCGAGATGAAGACCTTAAAACCAAACTATAGGTGGGAAAGTTCAGTTTTAAGAGGAGTGGGTACACATGTTGATGAGTCGGTATTGAAGCACACTAGATGAAAATGCTGAAGGGTAGGACATGGGGCCAGTGTACCTGACAAAGGATTCAGTGTGTGTGTGTGACAATGGCCTCAGTGTATGTGACAATGGGAGTCAATGTATGTGACAATGGAGTAAGAGTATTTGACGAAGTGCCCAATATATGTGACAATGGGCTCAGTGTGCAACTTGTCCTCCTACAAAGAACATCGCATTTTGATCGTATGCATTACATAAGGCCAAAAATTGTCGTACTAGAAAATGGAAACGGCTTGCGAAAGTGACGTACTGTCCTGTTTTCTGTTTTGGGTCCTCTGGCAAATTAAGAGAGGACACTCTAAATTGACAATTTTCTTGACGTTGGGAAACCTTAGGAGGATGGGCTGCAGAGTAAGTGACAATGCCAAATGTATATGACAATGAGCCCAATGTATGTGAAATTGGGTTCAATGTAAGTGACAAGTGGCTCAGTGTATGTGACAATGGTAAGCTTCAAAATGAGGAATCCAAGAAGAGTACATTTTCCAAATAAAAACTATAAGAGGTTATATACACTGAAAGGAATATATAGGGGTGGCACAGAATGACAGGAAGAGCAATTGTTAAGGCAGACAAAACATAAAAGAATCATAACAAAAAGATAGGAAGAGGGAAATATGCACTGAAGAACAAAAAAGTCCAAATCAGTCAATGTCATGTAAGGCAACTCAGTGGAACAGAAGTG